AAGATCAGGGTCAAAGGCAAGCGGCATAGATCAGCAAGGCGTGCAGGAATAATATGCCTGACAGGAAAAATGAGCAGACGCTGCGAAGCGCCTTTCCTAAGCCTATCAAGCTGCAACACACCGACCCGGACGCCCCCGCGCCCGCCCGTCAAAAAAGTCCGACCGAAGCTGATGCTCGTATCGCTTCATTTGCGAAGTACAGTATGAAGCGGTTGATGGGCTTCATAGATATCTAAGCACATACATGCAGCCGTGTCTGCCGTAGCAGTTATTGGCATGATGCCAACGGAAACTCGTCCAATATAGCTTTCTATGTCGTGTAGAACAAAGGCTTTCCTGCAGAATTTTGACCCTTTTCTCTTCGCTTTTTCGCCATTTTCTCACTATGTAGCACCCCTGCTACCATTTTAGACCGAGTTCTAGATTATACTGAATTATGCCTTTAACAGCAACACCTCTTAGAAACACGGCTAACATAGATGCAGATGAGGTGTAAAACTAGAAACTGTTTCGATAGGCCTAATTTTTGGTTTTTCATTTGTAACCTAAATAATGGGTAATACTCAATCCGGATAAAGGTGGCTGACTTAAGCCTAAAGGAGCCAGTGCAGCGTTCAGACTTCGCGATGAGGCTGCGGTCATACCTTGCGTCAGCGTACGCCAACGCACACCAGCGCCAGCAACTAGGGAAGTATAGATATCGATCCAGCGAACGCCAGCGTATGCGAGCGTACACCTTTTCACGGGAAATTGAGCCTGATCAAAACATCCTGCGAAAATGCTGCAGTACTCTGGCGTACGCGTTTATCAGTCGTTCGCAGCGCTGCTGTACGTTGGCGTGCGCTGGCATACGGTGGTGTTCGCTAGATCGATGTCCCTTACTTTCCTAGTCGCTAGCGTACGCTCAAAGCTTACCGTACACTTGCGCAAAGTGTGTACCCCTTCTTGCCTAACTCTGGTATTTATCCGTTTCTTGGTGATAGAATGAGAAATAGCATAGAAGTGATATGATTTTTCGCTCACTGATAGAGATTTAAGGATGCCCAGAGAAAGACTGCCTACCTCAGTCGAGGTATGACTTTAAGTTTGGAAAGAAAGAACTACATCAGTTCATGGCACTCAGGGAGCAAACGGGATTGAACTCCTACAGATTGTAAACCTTCTGACTAGTAATAAGGATACTACCACAAAGTTGTTCTTCTCAGCCATGCCGGATAGCTTTTTGTCACTCAAACAAAAATTAGTGCGATCAAAATTTACCTTGGCCTTGCAATACTGGCAGTGATACCGTACTGTGTTGAGGTTTTGACAGGCGTGGTAGAAAGGGCTTCTTCTAAAGCAGGGGCAGTACTTGGGCGAATTCTGCCATTCAGGGAGTTTTGCTGGTATTGCGACTGAATTTGTTGGCCGCTGCTCGCCTGGACTGTCCAACTGTTTCCTGTAAGGTATTCATTTAAATAATGTATAGAAAAACGAAACACTTCATCAAGGGAAACAAGTGAGAACAAAGAATAAGGTAATTTTCTG